ATCTACATCTTGTATGGCCTGAGGGTGAGTACATTTTCAGCAAATGTTCAAGTTTGGGTTAACTATTCCTTTAAACAGCTGAAACGCTTTTCTTGAATCAGGTTTTATAGGATCATTATAGACATGAGTGAAAATGGGTCCTTAATTAGCATCTGTTTTCATCTATGATATGGTCACAGATTCATTATAGAAGCACAGAGAATAAATATAAGCATAGTCTTGTGTGCTGTCAAGCAAAGATAGGTCATATCTCTTTTTTTCCACCTAGGTTTTAATAGCAGGCACATTCAAAGGCATGAAGATCAAACCAGGATCTTTTGGAAAGGCATCACCAGGATATGATGTTCAGGTGCAGTAACAGTCTGTCCAGGGTTTAAACTGGGTATAATAATAGTTGATTGTTGTCCTTACTGGCTTCATATTAATAATAACTATATAGATGTAATAATACAGATAATAATTACATAAAAATAAAAAGATTCAGTTTTATAAATTACAAAAATTTACAGAAAAGCAATTGAGGTAGTACATTGTTTTGTTTCATCTGATGGATTGGCTTGTTTTCCTGTGAGGTGAACTGTGGACTATTTTGGTGTAAGGTGGTGGATGAAGATGGTTCTGTTGTGCCACAAGGCCAAGAGGGAGACCTCGGCATCAGAGTCAAACCAGACAGGCCTTTCTCTCTTTTTACAGAGTATACAGTACGTTTTCCTTTTTCACATATTATTGGAGTCTGTACGAACAGAAACGTTCTTGAGCTCGAGTTGCACTAGTTAAACGTATTGATCTAAATTCATCCTATAGGGGGAGCCAGAGCGCACGGCAGAATGTCTCCGAGGCGATTTCTACCTGACGGGTGACAGGGGAATGATGGACGATGAAGGATACCTGTGGTTCATCGGCAGAGCTGATGATGTCATCCTGTCCGCAGGGTACGGAATTCTGCTTCCCATAACCATGTCAAATTTTTAAATCTCATGTTGTGTGTTTTAGGTACCGCATTGGTCCATTTGAGGTGGAAAACGCTTTGATAGAGCATCCAGCCGTAGCAGAATCTGCTGTGGTCAGCAGCCCTGATCCAGTTCGAGGAGAGGTAGGCAATGCATTCTGGGATTGCCATCTCCATGAAGGATACATGCAGGGTGGTGACCTTAGAATTAGGCAAAAATTACATAACTTCGAAGACCAGAATTATCTGTAGAGTGCTTATGATGCATTTAAATGGTGTTTAAGTATGCAGCGCAAAAGATTTTGTATGTAGTTGATATAAAATTGTAACTAAGATTATCATATGTAATACAAAACTGTTTATTCCAAATTATAATTATATATTTTTTTTT